CCTATTCTGGGCTCCTTGTCCCTGACTCATACTGCATGACACTGAGCTAATTAAAATATCCAAACCTTAGCTTCTATTCTCAAAATGGAGGTATAGGAGCTTGCCACCTTCAAGTGTAAATAAACATGCTCTGAAACTGCATTTGAGATCTTGCCCTAAAAGGTATGGTAGAAAAACAGCACTTTTTTCTGGTCCTACTTCCTGGCCTTTGCATACTCTATTCCTTCTGTCTAGAAATGTCCTTTCCTTACTTCTTGTGCTGGCAAATACTTATCCATTTAGGAACCAACGCGAGTATCATCTTCTTTATATATAAACCACTTAACCTCTCCAGCCAGTTAATTGCTTAGTTTATGCATGTGCACAATTACTTTATAACACTTATCACATTATGTTGTAATTATATTTATATGCGCACTTCCCCAGACTACACTCAAAGAAAAGTATCATCCATTTTTGATCTCCAAGGTGTAGTATACTGTTTCATGTTTAAAACACCTATGCTGAATGAATGATAGAGACCCTTTCCCGCTTGGGTTTTTTTTGCTTTCCCTTAGCATTTTTCCTGGACCATTAATCTACCATAGAGCAATCTTTTAAACTTATCCATGTACCTAGTGGCTTACTATATGCCAGGTACTATAACTTAATCCTAAAATTTCTTATAAGACTACTCTTAAAAGAGTTTAATGGTAAACTCTTAAATTCTAAATAGGGCAATCTCTTTCCCCAGGTAGTTGGAAAAAACCTCATTCTTGAGACCAAATCTACCTTGAACATTTTGTTTCTTCTTTTCCGTGTCTCACACTGGAACCTCTCCCCTATCCTGCTGTCTTAGATTAACCCAGCATTCAGGTTTACTTTATTAGAAGCTAAATAGAAGGTGTAGGAAATTACACGCTGCTAAGACTACAGATGCATACTCCCCCACCTCTTAAGTTCATTCAACTTTTGCTAATTTTGTTAATTTCCTAAGTCTTCAGAAACATCATAATGTGTGACAGGCTAGACCACAGCATTACTTAACTTCAGCCCTAAGGGGTAAAATCCCATTAGTTAATTTGATTATGTTCCAACAGATCCTGGTAGTTAAAGAAATGTGTTCCTATATTATATTTGTACTTCCCAGCTCCAGGTCATGTAACTTCATGTACAAATGAACCCTGAGCATGTGTAAGGGTGATAGATATGGGCCAAGTTGTCTCAACAAGCTGTGTACCCTTACTACCTTTCTTCTTCCTGTCCTAGTTCAAACCCATGTCACCTCTTGGCCAGACAACTGACTGTTCTCCTTATTCTCCACTCCAATCCAAAATCCAATTCCATTACTTATCATGATGTCACCCTTTTGCTTAAAATCTTCAACGACAACAAAAAAAAGTCCTTCAACCTAAACTTCTCTGCATGGCACGGACAGGCCTATCAACTTGAATCCAGTCTACCTTTTCAGATTGATCTCTAGTTACTTCCCAGATCATGCTTCCCATATTGTGCACTCAGAAGCTAACCAAACTAGACTCAAGACATAGTCGTATTTCTATACCTCCATGAATTTGCTTATAACACTCTGGTTTAAGATGCTTTTTTCTCTATCCATATATTAATTTGCCTGATACGAATTCTTACTCATATTCAAGGCCCAGATCAAATATCACCTCCTCTACGAAGTCTTTCTTGACCCTATCATGCAAAACCTTTCCTCTATCCTCTAAGGGCACTTGTATTTTCTTTAGTAATTGTTACAGTGCGCTTATGATTATCTATCTATCTATCTATCTATCTATCTATCTATCTATCTATCTATCTATCTCCCCTACCAAGCCAAGCTTCCTGTTAAGAGGACCATGTCTAAGTCCTTTTTGTAATACCTATGACTCACCTAAGGTTCAACACTATATAATTCTCAAAACTGTCTGTTGAATAATCACCTGCCTGTCCTCTTCTCACCCATCCTTCCTCTTATCTGTTTCTCCTCCAAAAACAATGCTGTTTGTATTCCTTATCTTTTCTTAACAAAATTCAACTATTCATTCTATTCTTCCGGGAGCTAACTGAAAGATTCTGTTCATAGTGCCGTAGAAAAACTTGGAATATAAATATCTTAGTCAAGAGGAGCTCTCAATCCACTCAGAGAACAAGATTCATTGTTAAGTAAGGACACTAACAGAAGGCAGGCCAGATTAACTGTTAAAGTTTCAGTTATGCCTTAAAGATGCCATAGAAAACAACAACAACAACAAAAAATATGTTTCTCGGTGATCTAAGTTTGGGAAAATTATACCAGATTAAAAATTTACACTGTATATTAGTATTAACAAGATTTACAGGTATATTAGCATGTTTAAAGGATCTAAGAAGTTCAGAAAACTCAGAAATGAATTTGCTTTATTTTGTTCAATCCAATATTTCCCAAGTTTATTTGATCACAAAACATTTCTCTTTCCAGTAATGACTATAGTATACCTTGGGAAATATTTATATATGAAAAAGATAAAATAAGGTCAAAAGATGGTTGGATATTGTAAAGGGGCTTAAATTATAAGAATAGATCATATAAATAAGTTATTAAAGATATGTCATTTTATAGGTAAAGTATGAACAGTTTTAAGCAGGGGAGTAACATAAAATGTTCCACTTTAGAATGAGTACTTCCACAAATATGAGAAAGACATATTGGCTGGAGGATGATGTAGACGGTGTGTGGCAGGGTGGAGATAGAGTGAAGAGTTGTGAAATAGAAGGTACAGAGCTAAATTAAGAGAAGAGGTCCAGGACGACTTCAGAGAGGAAAACTCCTTCACTGAGAAATGTGTCTTGGACAGGGAGCTTGCTCTTCCCTCATAAATATGCTAGAGACAAACAGAAGCTTCCTGTTTATGGAATAGTCCAGTCTAGTTGTCTAGGAAGGCCAATAGCTGATAATAGCTGCTGGGGTCAGGTGGGAGGGAGGACTCTGCAGAAAAGAGAGGCAGCATGAGAGGCTGGAGTGGTGGACCTGCGCTGCGCAAAGAATTCAGATCAAGATGCCTTATCTTCTATTCATTTGTAGGGAAGATCTGCCCTGTTGCTTCCTTTGCTCAGTCTTCTAGAGATTCTGAAAGGGTTTAAAGATTGGCAACAGGGCGCTTGAGAGGAAAACATGAAATGTGTACATGATATGGGGGTTTCTGAAAAGACCTCATGTTTAAGCAGTGACTCTAAGAGGTAACAGATCAACTGCACCATTTATTAGCTGTGAGATATTGGGTCCTGCACAAACTTCTCTGCTCTGGTTTCACCTTTGTAAGATGAGTTTACCACCATTTACGTGTATGAAACTAAAATGAAATTATTTCTGAATGAGGTTATAGTTTGGAGATTATAAAGAACTATTAAAATGCCAGTTATTTGTATTTTGAGTTAATTTTATCTCATTTAAAAGTCTGTTTTAAAGATTATACTTAATAATATTAAATAATAATAGAAATGTTTTCTCACTGAAAGTGGTTCCCTTATTTACAAATAAAATAGTTTCAAGTATGGAAAAATAAAAATTCAAGACTGTTCTACATGTTTTATAAACAAATAATGAATCTTTTAATATATAATGTTCTCATTATCATGAGTAATCACAGTGAAACTAATGATCAGAACTCCGTAGGATCACTTACATACTCCCCTCAACTTGCCAAATACACACAAAGACTCACTGAGAGCAAAGGGAGAACCTGATAAATTCAGTTGGTAACATGATCTGTGGGCAGTAAAGATAGTCAAGTATGAGAAAGAGATACTGGGGCTTAGGCTTCTCTTCTAGAGCTCATTCACAATTTTTACCAGACCCAGAAGAATAAACCAGTTTGAGTAAAATAAAACAAAACAAGCTATTTTTCTCCTGGCATTAAAAAAGAGGTGGTTCCTTGGCCACATCCCCAGGGAACCCAGACACCTGTTTAGGAAGTGACAGAATTTTAAAGTTACTCCCTGTTTACCTAACACTTTCAACTGAAGATCTCAAAAACACTTTGCAAACATTAATTAAGCCTCTCAAGTCAGGATAGAATTAGGCCTATTTCATATAAGATAAATAAAGTAGGTAAGAGGTTGTTTAAGAATCAGAAAAGAAAATAGATTCTAGCATCTTTGGCTCTCTCAATGTTGCCCTTAGGCCACACTTGATGAAATGACCCAAACAGTAGTAGCATCCCTAATCATACTGACAAGTCTATGCTTTTTAAAAATGAAGCTGGGAAGAAAGAATATTGACCTTGGTTGGGGTTAAGACCAGTGTTCCCACTAGCTATAGGACCCTGAACAAAAGTCACTCTAAACTTCAGTTTCCTCATCTGTTAAAACTAGATCAAATCTATCTTACAATGTCGCAGGATCAAATTAAATTATATATGCCTGGCACATGGATACTCAGATGCTACCTTGCTTTCTTTCTTGAGACTTCACCTTCTTTAAACCCACAGATACCGCATTTTAAAAAATTATATACCAAATTGTTATAATTCTTCTAGCTAATTAAAAAAATAAAATGGATGATAACTGATCCAATACTTGGTTAAAATAAGAAATGGCCTAATTCTTTAAAAACTTCCAAATCAGAAATCATTTAGAGATGTAATCAAGAGTGTAAATTAATTCCTTTCCATTTTTATCAATATGAGCAAAGGCAGAGATGGACTTCAGAGAAATATAAAACAAAAAGGGAGTTTTCCCAGAAAGATAATCAGTGGTGCCATATTTTTTCAGTTAAAATTCAAGGAAACTCACATCTCAAAAAAGGAGTTGATATACTATTCCAAAATTAACTATGTAGTGTTCACTTAAATTCCTTTGGTTCAGAAAATAGATCAATAGTGTCTGTGAAATGTGAAAACCATGTAAATTAACCTCTTAGAGGCAGCAAGATCACCAGACTACCAAATATAAGCAAAAACTTTCAAGAGTCTATACATGGTTCTTTCTGATACTTATTAACCGAAAGTGAAAGTGATCTACCATAGATAAACACCGGTACCTGTGACAACACTTCAAAGTAATTTAGAAACCCCATTCTCAGTGAGGTTAAATAACACACCCATTTCTAAATAAGTGTGGCTGAACAGAAACATAGAAGTTAACTCCTCTTACTCCTCTAGACATTCTACATCGGCTTCTTTTGAGACAAACAGCAGCATCATGGAAATCTTTAAATAGCCTTGATATATAGACTACGATTAGAAGCCCTTCATAACTCCTTTGAAGCAAGCTTTTAACCAGCATTACATTTACACACTGCAAAGAGTCTCTATCTCTAGCATCTTTTTGTCTCCAAAACATGACACACAAAAATAAAACAATAAGGTTATAAAAAGCAGGTAATGAATGGCAGTCTGACTCCCAACCACTTAGATGAGCCCCTGTGCTGCATGCAATCATTCATGGGATGTACTGTAGTACACAGTAGCACACAGATTTTAGAAAGTGGAGGGAGGAGGGTCTCCAATGAATGCTCCAGATAGTAAAATCTGGTGGTTATTATTATGTCTCTGTAGATACTGTATATTTCCTCACTGACCTTAAAAATTCAGCTTATATGATGCATTAAAAAGACCATCAAGAACTCAAGATCAGAGGGGCTGGGAGGCACATTTTCTCCTACCAAAGCAACCTCTGGGCATCCTTCTCAGTGCCCCACTGCTTCCTGGACAAAGGGTCCGTTCACTCCTCACCCTACCCAAGGCAGCAGTGTAAGAACCACATGGGGCCTCCCGATAGCCTGGCACACAAGGCACACAATGCTCAGGGTGCCCCCGGCGCTCTGCCAGTGACCTGTCCTTTCCCCCTAGTGCCATACTGGTCACCTCCATCTCAACTTTCAGCAGAAGTGGTCAGGAAAAACACATCTTCTCCCGCCATGCTGCTAAGTCTGCCTCTAGCCAAATGGACACACCCCTTAGAAGCACTGCCCCTCGGAATGATATTCTCATTCTGTCTTTTGCCATATATCCCCTCATGAAGAGCTACCCCTTACCTCTGGGCAGAGGGGTATCTACCCGACAAAAAACTGCCTTGTTTCCTAACTTGATGGATAGCTCCCTCCTTCGCGGAATGCTCAGGCCCCACCTCAAGCTCTGTGGCAGACCGCAGCTGCCCCCTCCTTCTCCTTCCATGGTGGGACACACACCCGCGCACACGCACGCGCGCGCGCGGAGACGCTGCGCCCAGGGCCGTCTCTCCCCGCCCGCCACCCGCGGGGTCCAGTCCTCAGGCCCGGGTCCGGGACCCCCCGGCCGCAGCCTACCACCCCAGCGGCCACGCCCCCGCGCTCACCCGCAGTCCGGGGCCGGGCACCAGCGGCAGTCGGGGTCCGAGGCCAGGTAGCGGCGCAGCATGAACTCCTCGTACTTGTGCATGAGTGGCGGGTCGGCGAGCAGCAGACGGATGTCGTGCGGGTTGAGTCGCTCGCTGCACTCGGGGCAGCTGATGGGTACCCGGCTCTCGCTGATCTCCAGGCGCAGGTAGTGGCGGAGGCAGTCCCGGCACGAGCGGTGCGGACAGCTGAGCAGGCGCGGGGCCCGCTCGGGAGGCAGCCGCACCAGGCACAGCGGGCACT